AAAAACTACAACTACCAAGTAAGACATATACAGTAAGTCAATTATTTATCTTATTTTTCTCTCAAACACAAACACTTTATAAACACAAAAACACAAAGAGATGCAGGGGACTTGTGACCACAACTTCAAAACAAATGCATGACTGCAAGTTAAAAATGATTTATTTAATTTAAACTTTTAAGTTGTACATTGTTTAAATGAGTTATGTTGACATAACAATATTAATCATTACATCAACTTAATATTGTAAGTAATTTAATCTGAATTTTCTGTGTTAATTTGCCATATAGTACCACAGAATGTCCACTTCAATGGTTTGAAATTATTTTATAAATAAATATATATTTTAAAATAAAAAATTAATCTATGAATATTGTTTTCTTTTTATGTATTATATTATTTTAAAAACCCTTGCTACGTGTACTGCGTTAAGCTAACTGAGACTTTTTATAGCACTTGTATATCATTGCTCTTTTGTTGATTTTGATTGCTTCTATTGTCCTCATTTGTAAGTTGCTTTGGATAAAAGCATCTGCTAAATGACTACATGTAAATGTAAATTAATATAAAATACATTAAATAAAGCATTCTTTGTTAGTTCAGGCAGGCCTTATAGTCAAGCTTTGCTATCAGCTGATTTAAAAACAAAAACAAAATATATAAATAAAAAAAATTCAAACCCAGCCCATATCAGCTGATCCGATTTATTTGACATTTATTTAAACACCACTTCAGTCAGCCTGCTTTGCTGCTTCCAATGCACACTGCTTTACAACCCACCTCCTCCCCAGCTCCTCCTTTAACTTGTGTCTAACTTAAACAATGTCATCTGTTGTCATAGTTGCATGCTCTGTTCTCGGGGGATTTCTGTGCAGCTCTCCCACTCTTAAATTGGGATGGCTACCTCTACAAGCTGCTGCTATTTCCCTGTTGTAACTTTTCATGGAGCTCATGAAAAGGACTGGAATTTAGAACAGAGTCATACCACCAAATATAAATTCAGCAAAACATGCCAATAAAAAAATGTACTTAAAGTTTGTATATAGTATTTATTTACACTATTATAATTAACTTTTGACTTAAAAGGTCCTGACAGAAGTGAATTAGAGCACTCTGTGAAATGAAATATTATTTGCAAGATTATTTTATTAGTTTCCATGATCAATAAAATGAAATGTAATCAATTGCCATCCTCTAGAAATAACACGTGTGACACAGGTATGGCAATAATTCATACAGAAAAAATAAATAAATAAATAAAATTAAAAAAATACTAATTAAATAAAAAAAAGTTGTAGTAACTTAAAATTGTTTTGATAACTTTGGGAATGTAGGCAGTGGAGTCCTAGTTCCACTGAATAAGGAGAAAAAAAAAATGAAATTGAAATTAAGTCATGTGGGAAGATTTATGTTTAAATGGGTCATAGGATGCCCATTTTCCACAAGTTGATATTATTCTTTAGGGTCTTAATGAAAAGTCTGTAACATAGTTTGGTTAAATTTCTCAATGGTAGTGTAAAAAAACACATTTTTTACCCTGTCAAAAACAGCTCTTTTCAGAGCATGCAGATTTGTAGCATTTTCCTTTAAATGTTAATGAGCTCTGCTGACCCCGCCCCTCTCTTCCGAGCCGCTCTCAGAGAGACTGTTTACTTTAGCCGCATTCATCGTGAAACTTGCTAATTAGCACATTATTAGGAGAGGCGATTTGCAAAGATTCGTTAAAAAAAACCTTACACTTACTTCTTCTGTAGGTGAAGCTGGATCACGAATGATTCGCGCAAACAGAGACGCATTTATGTAGATCGGGGGGGGGCGCATTCCCTTCAAAAACAAACATAATCCACTGCGTCTTCAGCGGCTCAGATGTCGGGAGTAAATGAACATATGCTCAACAGAACACCTCAGTTGCTTAGGAGTCATTCTTGTCTACATCTGATTTCAAACAGCTTGTAAAACTGCACATAGCATTATATGACCCCTTTAACATTTAAAAGAGTTTCTTTTATGTTCAAGTTTTTGTGGTTGGAGACATTAAGATATATATACTACATCGATTATATGAGTGATGATTGTACTAATGCCAGTAACAAATATTTCTAATTCATGAAGTTTATATGCTAATAGCTGTTCATTTGAATAGTCACTTTTCATTTTAACATAATTGAACACTCAATTATGTTAAAATTAATTGGACTTTATTTATTTGTTTATAGTAATCAACTTGAAAACTTGTATTACTGTATGTTACAAATTTAGTTTCTCTAACTGAGTGTAGTTTGTTGGGTGAACATAATTCAACTTAATTTTATTTTACCTTTTTAAAATCTCATTTACAAGAGGGCCCTGACCAAGATAGGCAGCACATTTAGTTACACATAAAACAAAATACATTCGTTTACATACACAGAAACATACACAAATCACTCAAAACATTTACAATCAGGTGACTCTACAAATAGATCCTCTAAAATACATTTAAAATAATTTAGTGATACCAACTCTTTTAAGCATAACTTATCTTGTAGTTGATTCCAATCAAATGGATCAGCATAACTAAATGCCCGTTGACCCATATTAGTACGAACTTTAGGGATGCTTAAAAGATAATAATCTTGTGAGCGAAGCCCATAATTCTTTACACCATTTTGAAAGATATTCTGCTGTAAATACGAAGGAAGTAAATCTAAAATGATTTAATATATAAATAAGTACAAGTGCTTAAGTCTACGGGATGACAACGCCGGCCATCCAGCCCAAGAGTACAATAAACAATGATGAGTAAGGGCTTTTGAATTTGTGATGAACCTTAATGCTCCATGATAAAATGAATCCAACGCCTGTAAACAATTCTTAGGAGCCTGCATGTATATGATATCACAATAATCCAACACTGACAAAAATGTAGCTGCTACCAATCTCTTCCTTGCTGCAAAAGACAATACTTGACTCTAAAAAACAAGACCCAGTTTCAACTTTAATTTTCTCACAAGGTACTGAATATGAGGCCCAAAAGAAAGAGAATCATCAATTAAAAATCCCAAGCATTTATACTTGGATACTACTTCAATCTGCAAACCTTGAAGAGTAATAATTGAGCATGCGTTTGAAAGTGCAGACTTTCTTTTTGTAAACATCATAAGTTTAGATTTCTCCGCATTTAAAACAAGTTTTAAATCACTCAGTGTATGCTGAAAATGCATCAAAATCAGATTGAAGATGACTCCGAGCCTGATCCAATGTTGATGCAGAGGAGTAAATCACCATATCATCAGCGTATAAATGAAGACTCAGAGCCTGATCCAATGTTGATGCAGAGGAGTAAATCGCCATATCATCAGCGTATAAATGAAAACTTCAATGTGCGAAACTGTCATAACTCAAAAAGATTGATGTAAACTGCTGTTAATTATTTTTTTGTTGTTGAGCCAAAACATTAGTTTTAAGAATGTAGACTGATCATAAACACGGGGCCACGCTTGCCAATGGACATGTTTGATTCCTCCATTCCAGTGGACTTATTAGTGGAATTTTTCATCAATTCTTGAGACATCTATCTATCTATCTATCTATCACCTAAAATGCCTTAAATCAAACATTAATTCAAATTCTGGAAAATAGAATTTTAAATTCAGTTCTGAATGATGCACAACACTGGTGTCTGAGATGTTTGAGAGTTGTTAACATTGAGGTCCAAAGTTTCCTCCCTCCCCTCATCCCCCTTTTTTTCTCTATGAAACGCCTCAGTGTTACACAAGCAGCTCTTACATCTAATATGTCATTGTGTCTCAGTGTGTCCTATTGCAACGTACACATCATGCCATATTTGACCTCGCTGACATTGATTGAATGTGTCTTATCATTGACGGGAAACCTGGCATAACATGTCTTGGCACGGCATATTTGAATATGCGCAAGCAATGACGGAATATTTTCAGGAACTTAAATATGGGTTTATTACTCACACAACAGCTACTGAATGGTTTCAAATATAGCACACCTGTCATATGGACTACTTTTATAGCCCTGTCTTTGTATGGAAAAGAGCAGTATGAACACTAAATTTCTCCTTTTGTGTTTCACAGAATACGTCAAAAAGAGGTTCGGACTGATGAAGGTGCATAAATGATGACAGATTTTGTGGGTAAACTATCTGAACTATTGAATTGTAAAAAGTCATATTTCTGATATTTTAATTTCAGGTTTTTTAAAACAAAACTTCTTAAATACTGCAACAACTACGTCAGGAAGTGTTCAAAACTAACAAGTTGAGAAATCGTCTTCAAGTATGTGCACATCATAAACTTCTTGAAAGGACATTTCCTCTGCAGACTGACATTCATGTCTGTCTCGTACAGTCACGGTTTACCTCGCCTCCGTGAGCTTTGTGGGAAATGTCAGTCATATAAACCTCATAAAGCAATCTATCATCACGTAAGTCACCTCTCTCTGTGTATGTTTTGCTCTATGTGAAAATGAGTGCAAGAAACTTTATTTAACAATTAACCACTTGCTTATCTCAGCAAGTGCCATTTATAACCAATAAAACACACACACACACACTCAAACAGACATAAATTTTACATAAAATATGAGCATGTTAAACATTTCATAATATAGTGTTCGTCACTCATCATAAAATTCATAAAATATTGCTTCCTAAAAAAGGAAATAAATCCAAAATATATGTATATTTTCCATATACATGAAGCTTATTTTTTAGAAGTAAACATAAAATATGTATTCCAAAAATGTAGAAATTTAGAAAAAAACTTTAAAATATAAAATGTAATCTTTACTGAAATCTGTTGTGATATTAAATTAAACTGCAACATAAATGTCAGCTCCATGTTTAATAAAATAAACCTGATAAAACAGCAAGGTAAACCGTGCAGCTTTAGAAACATCTATTCCCATCTTCCCGGACACACACACACAAACTGTGTCATATGAGGTGTAAAAGCTCAGTTCTGATCCCATTAGCAGTAAAGCAGGTGTACCTTGAATACAGGCATCTGGCCGCTGTGAACGTGTCTCTTTCACGTGCTGATTCTGAATCCTGTCCAGTAGACGTCTTCTTCTGTACTTCTGCCTGGAAATGTACTGTAAGTTCCCTTTTTGCGTCTGTTTTGTTCTATTTCAGTCTAGCTGTTTCTTTCCCTCTCTCTGTGTGGATTTTTCTCACTCTGTCCACGGTTTCATTGCGAGTTCCACTATATTTGCTGCAGACTCTGTATGTGTGTGAGTGTGTGTGTGTGTGTGTGTGTGTGTGTGTGCGTGTGTGTTAGCAGCTGCTCTGAGGTGCGACTGTGCTGCTGAACAAAATGACTGGAGAGAGAAAGAAAAAGAGAGGAGGACTGCCCATGTCCTGTCTCTCTCTTTCTCTCTCTCTCCAGAGACAGGCCGCTGTCCCGCTCTGCTTGCTGTTATTTTTAGAAGCAGCCGAGACGTGAATCAAAGGCTCGCAAAAGAAACAGGCACATGTCATACATATGCCAGCTGATCAGGGGATCTGTATCTCACACACACAAACACAAACAATCCCCGCTCAGCCATTTGTGCACATTTCGTCAGCCCTGGTGCAGAGAAACTGCAAGATGCTTGATTTTTGTGAGGTCACTACTGAGGAGGGTTGAACATTGTGTTATCATAATGCATTACAGAAAACACAATATATCTGCTATTATAATTTAGTTTCAGCAATAATGGCCAAATAAAAAGCTGTCTGATCTATAGATACATGATAGATCCTATACAAATATAATGAATCAAGGTCATGTGAAACCTTTAGCCCTTCAGCTCTCCAACAATCAGTTAAATCAGAGATGTCACATTTATCACACACACAGAGTTAAAACCACCCTGAAATAGCATTTGCAGTTCCAATGGATGATGCACAATGTCTATTTTTAATAAGCTCCGTACATATTGTCTAAATAAATAAATTAAATCACAGTTGCACATCAGTGTCATCCGAATCTCATAGACCCTATGCTGAAATCTAATCATCAGAAAGCAATAAATGAGATCTGTCTCAGGACCCATTTAATTACCATAAAACATATATGCCATACAGGACTGACGTAACATTAAAGTAATGAATAGTTAAAGATTGTCCTCTCTTTAAAGACAACCAAACAAGATCCATCAAAGGCTGAGTATTCCTGTTTAAAGCTTGACAAGAGAACTGATGAAGTGAAATTAAATAAATTAAACATAATGAAAAATTGAGTCGATGTGCAGTAAATGTGGCCAATTATAAAGACTGAGAGCTAAATCATATTTATAAGGCAGACAACAAGACAGGATACATCTTAAAGGGATAGTTCACCCAAAAATGTGAAATGTCAAATTTTAAAGTGCAAGTGAAGCAGTCAGTCAAGTTTGATTTCTACTTGAATAATAATATATATATATATATATATATATATATATATATATATATATATATACTTACGAGTTTCACAATTTGAGTTGAATTACTTATATAAATGAACTTTTCCATGACATTCTAATTTATTGAGATGCACCTGTATTTGTAGGTATTTGCAAGTGTTATTGGGACTAGAGCTGTGAATCAAAATAATAATTGATTGAACGTGTCTGTGATTAATCACACCTAACATTAAAATTATGAGGTGGGCATCATTCAAGGAATTAAATTAGAACGCCTTTTAAATTCTAATTAAATTGTGTAATCATGCACTAATATTTTTTTTTTTTTATTTTTTTTTTTCTAGAAAATTACAGTTTGTCAAGACAAATTTGCATTGTTTTTAAAGCCTTGAAGTCTGAAGTTTCATTGACCTTCATAGACAGAAATAAAAACAGATAGGTAAGTTATTTGAATTGCAATTCAATACATTCTTATTTCCATCATTCTAATTCAACTTCTGGTGGGATGTTGCAAATTTAATTAGAATTCCAACTCATAAATCAAAACAGAGATTCTCAAATTTTGAATTTTGCACAATGCTAATGCAATTCATGAACATTTGTATGCCTGTATGTATTAGGAGTGTAACGGTACATGTATCCGTCCTGAACCGTCACGCACGGACGTCATGGTTCGGTTCATGCAGTGAGACGACAAATACAGTCAGTCACAGGCGATCAATCTGAAGGAGGCGAGTGCTGTAATGCAATGCTAACTGCCATGACAAGAAAGAACAGAAGAAGAGATGATCTACACACCAACCCAAAACAAGAATGGCGAGTTCAGATGGCACACAAGAGCTTTAAGACCCACCTGCTAGTTTTAAATCAGCAGTGTGGGAAAGTTTCGGGTTCTAGAGATTAGGTCTGCACGATTAATCGAATGCGATTGTCATGCGCATTTTGGTAGTAATGCTAAACTTGTTCCATAAGATAATTTGACAATCATATATTTTTGCTCACAAGCTGCTTTTTCCCATCTTACACACACACACACACACAATGTGTGTGTGTGTGTGTGTGTGTGTGTTTGTGTGAGAGTGTGAGTGTGTGTGTCCATGCGCACGCACACTAGTGTGAGGTAAAGATAGTCCCTGAGTGTCCAGTATGACGCAAGAACCTTTAAGCGGTCGGGGGTTATTTTTAGCCTCTTCCAGGAGTGTCACAGAAAACAATGTTTCTATAATCCCTGGACATAAAACTCCTCATGTCAAACTTAAGTGTTAGCATGAGACTAATCCAGCTTCTTATGCCACACCCATCAACAAACTGCAGTCTGGTCTTTGACTGTCTGATGCATATTGCATAGCAAATTGGAAAGTTCTGATCTGATTGGCTGACTTTAAGGAAGAAATAACTAATCACTAGACTTGCCAAAGTTTGTCAGGTTAGAGGAATCAAATACTTGATTCTAGAGTTTTGAAGCGTAGCAAGTAAACTAGATACCGTCTTTTTTTTTTTCTTTCTTTTTTTGATATTGACCTAAAAGTCAACATGTATATTTGACAGTGTTTTCTCTAGAACTGTCTGTAGAGGCTGGGTCATTATTTGAATTCATCAGAGAGGTCAAAGAGGCTTGCATGGACCTTTTGAAAGAGGAGCAAACATAACAAAGGACTGTGAACTGTTGTGTTAAATTAAGTTCAGAACTTCATTGTCTGTCATGTGATAAACAGAGGCCTTGGCAGAGGTGGACAAAATACAAAGAGTAACCATCTAAAACGGTCAACAGCCAATTCAGTGATACTGTAAGAACATGTTCTGAAGAAAATCAGCAAGTATTAAAGGTATGCAGTACAGCACTGAAGTATAAAGTAATTGGCATTATAGTGTACAAATGGGCAAGTATACAATTCTTACTTCTAACATTTCATTCAGCAACTCATGTCCTTAAATATTTGACTGTTAAAATTACAAAATTTAAAAAAGGATTATTATGTTGTGTTATGATGAACCAATTGTTCTCATTACAT